AATTTGAATTAAGTGTTCCTGAACCAAAGCTTAGTTTTTTAAGACTTATCAGGGCAAACCATAAGAAAACATTGTCAGACAATTGATTATTTTATCACAAAGCTAACGTAATCACTATGCACAGAACCATGACAATCAATAAAACAATCAAAAATCTTCAACAAATCAGAGTCATATTTTGAATTTTGAATTCTGTCCAGAAACGCTGAACCATGAGTTTGTGTGGAAGCAAGTTTTTGATTAGAACTTAGATAATGTCTCTTGAATGTTCTCCGAATTAGTAGTTTCTTTGCAATACTAAATATCTTTTCGGTTCCTTTCTATCGTAAGTTGTTGAACTGCTCGACTAAGATGATTGAATACTTCTCCGCTTGATGGAATCTGAATGCTTGAATGGAATCTGTGTTTGAACAAAGTGTAAAGACAGTCATTTTCTTGATATGTGTAAACATATTTATCTAATCTCTGCAAAATTTGTCTAAAAGATGTTCCTATTAAAACCAAATGGAACTTATATTTCTCCAAAGAACATAAATAATTGTGAGACACAAAAATCTTGAATTACAATGTTCGTAAGACTCGTTGGAAACAAAAATAAATAGCAATTTTTACTGTAATCTGAATAAAAGCTGGGAAGAGCTTGACACCTATCTGCTGCCATTGGCAAGAATGATTTTTGCAGTTAATTAGGATTTATATAGTAGAAGTAACGCCTATGCCCTTTCCGTTTAGGAAAAATTCATACAAAACGTTCCACATTTGGTACTACTTCCATATATGGAAATCGCGATGACTCATACTGCTTACCTCCTTTTTCATTTAATCTCAAAATAATTTCTCTCATTTCTCCTCATCTGATCAGTTTGCTCTTGAAAAATATACAAGAAAAGTTGAAAGTCCCAATTATATTGATTTTTCAAAAAATAACAAACAAGAATTGGGAGATTTGTTTGGTTACAAAAATCTAACAAGGGGAAATTTATTTTGAACCTTGCTTTTAACTATTAAAAATAAAAGATTTGGGACAATTTGAAAAGTCCCTTCAAGTCTATCTTGAAGAAAACGAAGGAAAAGCAATAAAAACAATCCGGAATACTGTTATTCACGATGCTGAAAACCTGGAACTTATATATGAAGCAAAATATCACAAAAAATCAACTATGGATTAGAAGCTCGACATCTGTAATAGAGTATACGAGATAGCAACATGAACATGAGGAGGGTGTGTGTCACAACCAAGAAGTACAATGAGAACAAGCCGCCCTACATTCAGATTCGACTCTTCACTGCAAAAGAGAATGCGACACTGAAGCAAGTTGCATATGTCAACTATGCTTTGAATGAATTCAAAAAACTGTCCCAAATTTTAGGAGACTTAATGTTTGTTGATAATTGTGAACCTCAGTAATGCTTTGTGATGTTTTGTATGTTTGGTAACTGAAATATTATCGCTTCAAAACTTTTTTTCTCACTGAAGTGTATATTTAGAGCTATGATATCTGAGGAAAAGTCAGACAAAACATACAAGTTAATCGAAATTGACATAAAACACAAACCAATTTTCAGTTGACTTTCCAGACTTTGCTTAAGAAATTACAGAAAAACTTATTTAATTACCGTTTTTAACAAAATTTGAGTAAATTTGTCTTATTTGAACAAAATTACAAACACGAATGTATATTTAGATGAGAACCTTATCAATGTTTTTTGAATTTCTGTATTTCATTGGTTGTTTTTCCTTTTTTGCCATAAAATGAGGTTTTGATTTGCCACATGAATTTCTTAAAAAACAAATTATACTCTAAATAGGGGAAAAACATGTTATGGTCCTTGTTATTACAAAACAAATTAAAAATGATACAAAAATTCGAGTTTCTTCAAGTTTCTTTATTTATTTCAGTAAAAAATATGTTTCTATTAAAAACTCGGTTGTTTGATATGAAAACTGTTGAAAAATCTATTTTTAGCTTAATTCTAAGTGGTTGATATCGAAAAAGATAAAAGTTTCCTTATAGGTAATGCTCGATTCTGATCGGTTGATATCAAAACTTTTGAAAACTCCTTAGTTAGATTGGATGATTTTTATTTCAGCTTGGCCAAATAGGATGATATCCATTCCGATTTTCTTTCACGTTAAAAAAAATTGGTTAAAAAATTCAACGAACTGTTTTTAATTACTTTTATTCACTTTTGAGGCTATTCAACTCTTCTTTTCCAAAAACTTGGATAATTCTAAATCTACCATTTATTCTCAAGTTCTTTCTTTACTTAATGAGATGCCGTCATTGAATAAAAACAAAAGAGTTGCAACTCTTGAATATGGCAGGGAATACACACGTGAAGATGCGTCAAGACATCGTAAGCACTGTGGCGTTTTAAATTGTTCTAATTGTAACTTTTATACATATAGCAGCGAGGAACTCACTAAAAATTCTAGTTTAATTTATACAGTTTTTCATCACTATTCTTGATCTGGCATTTTTTTTTCTAATTCAAAGGTTCTGATTGATGATAAAACCAGCAAGAATCGAGTTCAAATTGTCGTGAAACTTCCAATGGAAATCGATGCAAAAATTTTTAATCTATAGTAAAAAAAACTCCATTGGTTGCAAGCTTGCAGAGATTTGGTTGCGATAAATTTGTAGTAAAAGCGAAAGACATTCGCTAATGAATGCTTAAGTATTTGTTAAAATATTTTAAAAACTGGATATTTAGAAAACATCGACTAATTGAAAGGTTTTGCCTTGTTACCATTTTAAAATTTTCCTTGTTTAGTGCTTGTAAAAGTGTTTATAAATCAGTGCAATTTTAAGCAGATAATGGGGATTGATTCATTCATAACTCTGTCTTCTATTGTTTTTCGACGATTTTGGAAAAGAAATTGATAACTGACCTAGAAAAGATGAAAAAATGTAATATACATCTTTCTCAACCAAAAGTTTACTTCATTATAGAAAATCAGAGTTGAAACAGCAACATGCAGTTATCAGGTTGAAAAAATCATTTGAAATTTTTCAGCAAAAAATGTTTGGTATTAATTCTGCTTCGGATTATAGAGCGTTCGTCGAAATTATACATTTTTTCATCTAAAACCCAATTTTCAAGTAAAATTTTGTTCAAATTGGATAAGTTGAAAGTTAAAAGATAAAGCAGAAACTGAGAAAATACTCAATTGAGATAGAAACTCTATTTAATTCATTAGGAGTTTTGAGATAATTTCACTAAAATTTAGCGTATAAACTTTATCTTGAGAAATAAAGCAACATAAAAAGTATCAAAAAATTATATTTAGCATAAGTTATCGAAAAATTTGTTATCCTTTGATATATTAGGTAAATTTATATGAAATTTCAAAAGTTTCAAGGTCTATATTTCATAATTTTGGATAAAAAACAAAAAAAAATGATGAAGAAAGAGTTTTAGAAAAAATTGAGCTTGCTGAAAACCTCTGATACTTTAGCAAACTGATACTTTAGCACAACCAGATGTATGATCTCTTAATTATATAAAATTAAACATGAAAAATTTCAATTAGACACAGTAACAATTTTGATCTGGTTAGCTTCAATTTTTTTTTCAATTAGAAAATTAGGTAGAACTATAGAGTTTTCTGCTTAATAAATTTCGCAAAATTATTCAATTGTCACAGTTTGCACCATGATTTCGTTTTCTAAATCGATTTTTTAATAAGCGTTCTTTTAGAAGTTTTTAAGCTTTGTAGAAGTTAGGAACTAGATTCCCTTGCAAATTTCTACTTCCGAAGGTTTTCAGATTATAAACAAAACAGCTGCTCTTAATTTGTTCTAAAAACTCAACGTAAAAATACACCTTTATAGTCTGTTGTTACGTGTGCTTTCGAATGTTTTAACTAGCACCGATTCTCTCTCAGTAGACATTTTTGAGAAAACTTGACACAAATCAAGAATAAAAACGATTTAATAAGTATTTTGCAAGAAAAGTAATAGTTAAAGATCTCAAAAATTTTAATTTTGCTTAAATAGTTCAAAGTAGTAACTGCATAAGGGAACCTCAGGGAGAACATGTAAAAATTACAAAGTAATAAACAGATGTTATCAGTTCTAATTTTATCTCTGCCAGCAACTTGTTTGTTCAGTTGATACTATTTTCCTGCTAAATTCCCCAGTTCTGACAAAATTTTCTTGCAAAGTGAGTTCAATAGCGAAAACATGTAATACGCAGAAAGCAAGAATAACCCTGAAACATAGAAAATTTTAACGGAAAAATTATGAAAATTATGTTGTAGAAGCAACAGAGAGATAATCATCAGTTTTGAAGAAGATTTTCTTGAATTTCATCCAATCTATTGTACTTTTAGGAACAATTTACCAGTAAACTTTAGTCAATTTTAGCAGTAAAATATTCATTTTTCAGCAATGAACCGAAACTTATTAATATTATTTAGTTGTAATTTTTGTACAAGTTTGGTTTAATCATTGAGAAAAAACTGAGGAGACGGATCATGGAGTTAGATCTAGAAATTTCAATGAACATTGATCTTATTGTTCATTTGAATTGAGATTCTTGGGTGAATTTTCCTTGATCTGGACAAAAAAAACATAAATACAAAAATAAAAGATCAAAAATAAAAACGTGGGCCCATCGTAGCATTACACTAATACAGTAGCAACAGATTATACTTAATTGCCTATGGTTCGAAATAAACCAAAAGGCTACCTAATAAGGACTATTTTTTTCGGCCTAGGTTGGAAAAAAGTTGCATCGTAGTATTACACTAAGCTCCGCTTGACTAATAAGGCGATGAGAACATTAATTTCGTTTTAGCAGCTTACAGTTCTGATTGTCTGACAAAAATTTTGCATGTTTCGTTGTTCATTTGGTTTTCAGACCGGCTTATCTCGACACTGAATTTTTGAAATTCATGAACCACACATGACTCTCATCGAGCTTTCTCGTGGAAAAAAAAACAATCCTGGTACATTTTTCATGGAGTGGCCGAATTATTAACACAAAAACCTCACTAGAAAGCTTGAATTAAATCAAAATATACGGAAGGAACAAATTTACAAATAAAAACTATACATGAATCAATACACTCGTGAATTGGTTTGAAGCTCCTTCGAACTGAAGATGATTCCGCGTATCATCTAAGATTTAATTGAGTCAGTTGCACATCTAATGTTAAGTCAGTTGGAGTGTTTAAGTTTACAATTTAAATTACAAATACTACAGATGATTTGATTAAGCTAGTATTATTATTATTTCGCTCATAGCCTACAATTTAGTTTAGTAAACTGTAACTAATTTTCCGTTCATTTCAAGGCTGGGGCGCTGCATTGTCTTCTATCATTTCGTCGGCAGCTGAGGCATTGGTCATTGAGTCCATTATTTCATCCATCAAGTTCGTCATGTGTCTGTCAGTTTCACGAGACTAAAACGAACTTGGTGTATTTTTCCATAATTAGACAAATGCTCCCTAAATAGTTCATATACCAAAAATATGAAAACAGCCGACAAACAGCTGAAGAAGCAACTAACACAGAGTAAAAAAAACGATTGACTTTTTTGAAACTTTCAAATTTCGAAGTCAAATTTATCACGTTGAAGTTCTAACAATTCCAAGAAAATTTTATGAACAACACTAATTTCATAAAACTAGCCAAATTAGTGAAAACTGAAAAACTCAATACGTAATTTTCTTATTCCGCTGGGAAAGCTGAAAATAATCCATTTTCAAACCTTAAAGTAATTCACGTTTTTTTTTCGCGCCATTTCCGCTTTTTTCATCGGAGAGCGTTATTTGCCTTCCTTTTAGCAAATGTATTTGAATTGAACTTGGAAAAGGCAAAAATCAAACCACCAAAATCGAACTTGAGCGTGATGATTTGCTAATAAACACCATCTATTCCACACCAACCTCACTGTTTAGTCCATCTGAGTTGCTCAGATCATTTGAGTGCTCTCTGGCATTCGAAGTTGCAGCCCTCTCGCGGTTACTCGTGGTCACAACAGCTGTCTGCTCTTCGACAGCGGCCAGCAATTCGTCTTGTGATATCACTTCATCTTCGTCGTCGTCTTCGCCTGATCCGTAACTTATCAGAGCTCTTGTTTCACTCATTGACAACATCGGAATTGTGTTATCATCACTTAGAATCAATGGTCGAGCATATGTGGGCATATCGGCTGATTTATCTATTTTCACTGTTGGTTTGGAGGTTCCAGCCATATGCGCTCCAACATTTGCCAAGTTCATGTCGCGGTTTAGATTCAGGTCGTCGTTTTGGTATGCATCTGAAAGGACTGAGTCCAGATCGTTGTCGTAGTTATTCACGTCGTCTTCATCTTCGTCCGGGTCATAATGGTCACCGGATGGGGCTGTCATTGCAAGAATGTCGTCCCGTTCATTTGACAATTCTTCAGCCTAAAATACATCAACTGCAATTAAATCAAGCAGCACAATTATTCTTTGCAAATAAACTCATTTAAAACCATGTATATAATTGGTCTCAGGACAACAGATGGTTGCTGGACTGGGCTTTTATCGGCTGTGATCTCGTCTGGTATCTTAAGTTAAGGGATCTTTTGTCATGTAACCTTATTATTATACCAAAACGATAGCTCAATCAGGAACGCTGACCAAAACTGGCTGAGCTCTTTTCAAGAAAATCAAAATAGATGAGCTTTAAGAATACGGATTCCAAAACATAGCAAACATACAGTTGAAAAACAGTCAATAGACGCAATTAAACAGAAAAAAATCTGATTTGTTTTGAATAATCCAAACTTTCGAACTTCAAAGAAAAAAATAGACGCCCTAGAAGCTCTTTGAATTTCGAGAACAATTTATGATTGGCTTTTTATTCGACAAAATTAACGCAATTTGAAATTAACATTATCTATCATCATGTTGAATAATAATTTACACTTATGTTGTACGATGGTGGAAACTATTTGACTTCCTTTTAACAAAAAAAAATCAACTGAAATCAAAAAGCCAAACCGCGAAAAATTAAATGTGAGCCTGATAAAAATCATCGCGACCTGAATAAGAGTCTGAACTACGTTCATCGACTATTAATAATAATGGCTATCTCCATTAGTTCACAAATTATTATCTGATTTCTAATCTACTTACCTCTCTGTTGAAGCTTTCGGCTCCCATCGACTGAGTTGTAGTTGAACTACCATGATCGGTCTCTCTAACTTCTTCCGAGGCCTCGCCTAGTTCATCCGCATTCTCACTTTGGGACTCCTCTTCCTCCTCCTCTTCGTCATCGTCGTCTTCATCTCCATCATCATCACTTGCGTCATCGTTTTCGTCCGCATCACCGTCATCATCATCATCCTCTTGGTTCCCATCCAAGCCGATTAGCTCCTCGTCAATACTCATACTTCCGGTCCCGCCATCGAAGCTTCTCATCATGCGGAAGAAGGCCAACTCATTGAAGAGCACTTCTGAAATCTCCACCAACAAATCCTCGCCGCACTCCCTCAAGGTCAGGTTTGCAAATTTACTTAACGCTTCAGTTAAAACAGTTGTCAGTTGCTGGTGGAAAAAGCGAACAAACTCTTCCGCTCCGTCGTAATGGGCACTAGCCAATTGCAAAACCTGTTTTTTGAGCATGTTCAGAAACGACTGCGTGCAGTTCTCATCCATTCTATTTTTCATCTGAGGAATAATCTCTCCCATTATCATTTTAATTTGATCATCTAAATGCTGCGTGTCCAGAGAGTTAATGTTAGGCGTGGCAAAATGGTCTGGAAAAGACGAATCACTTTCAAAGCCAGATATGTCTTGCAGAGGAAGTCCCATGGCATTTTCTTGAGAATTTGTTGGCCTTGAATTTGCCGAAGAGGTCACTGCTGTTGATGTTGAATTTTGAGTTGTCTTCGAAAGTTGATATTTGGGCGCGGAAGCTGTTGCCATAGCGTTCGCTGCCGATACCTACAATTTAGAAATTCTTTAATTTTTATAGTTACTGATAGTTTAAAAAAGATACAAGTATAAATATAGAGTTAGACAAAGGAAGCTGTGATGTTCGAAAATTTGAATTAAATCTGATATAAAAAACGAAGCCGCCTAATTTATAACTTTGTACATACATCTAGCATCACAATAACACAAAACTTACAGTATCTAAGTATATAGCAGTGTCTCCTAGAGAATCTTTTGCAAACAGAGGAGTGCTCTGCCCAGAGTGACTCTCCTCAACTACTTCCTCATAATCATAGTGCTGTGCAGTCAATGGGTGACCTTGGATTCGTATATCAGCCACACCTCCCATCGAGGAGCTCGAGCTCTGAACTTGACTATTTTGCGCTTCTTGTTGGCGATACTGCTGTCGTATTCGCTCCAGATACTCCAAATTCTGCTTTATCCAGGGATATTTGTCCTAAATCAATCAATTTGTACTGTTGAGATTTTTTTCTTTTAAAAGATTGGAAACGGTTACTTTTTATGTCATTTACTTTTTCGTTCATTTTTGGAAAGACTTAGGTCCAAGATAACTGATGTGTATTTACTTGTGAGTTACGCTGGCTAGATCTGTAAGCTGACGACAAATTCTGAACCGAAAACCCACTTTGGTCACTCATGTCACTCGGGGTCTCTTCTCCGGCTGTATACTTCTTCGCTTTTCCTCTTACACCTGGTTCAGCACCGGTCAAATAATGCGGGTATTTCATCTTACCCCCTTTTAGCTTCTTAGAACCACTTTTACCTCTTTCGCTTTGAAATAAGTCAGTGAAATTTATTTGATCTCCAGGGTCAACGGATTCGACAGCTCTTCTGGATTCCGAAGATTCGGCATCAGTGGCTGTCATAGCATCTTCTGCAATGTAACGATTCACTAGGTCTTGTAAAAGCATCAACGCACGTTGTCGCAAGTAGTCCGTCTTTAACATTTTCAGTTCTCGAAACAGTTCAATCAGAAAATGGGGTCTTGACTCGTTTTCAGTAATAACAGATGCCAACTCAGAGTAAATATTGTCTCTAAGAGCATCAAAAAGAGACAAAGTATTGTTTGAATCACTTTCCATAGGCGCTTCGGCAGAACTGCTCACTGGTTCTTCAACTGAGGGTTTCACTTTGCGTCTAACCACTGGTGTTGACTGGACCGTCGTTGGTTTGGAGCTAGTCTGACTTTCTCGCTTTGAAGGAGATTTCTGCGAAATGATACCATGCTGATTCGGATTAATAAATCGTCTACTTCTGTCTACGTTAGGATAAGTCTGTACGAAGAAATCATTGCTACTATCTACAGAAGTCGTTCCTGATTCAAGTCCAAGAGGTGGGATTTCTGGATGCGATTGATTAGTCGTACCGGCACCTACCTGCCGCACGTTTGAACTCGGAGCTGTTCTCGAGGCCCCTACTGGCGCCGGCCATGACTTTGATAAATTCTGTTGCTGTTCTTGCTGCACGTGCTGAGAATTTTGGGAACTTCTAGCACTTTTCTGTTGACGAGAAAGGTTTTCAGTCTGATTTTGAGTGTCAATATTCAGCTGTTGCGAGGCGTGATTCTGATTGAAGGAAGAGTTAGTAGAGTTCTGATTCATCTGTTGCATTCTGTGCTGTAGAGTTTGGTCTGTAGTTGACAGGCTGTGAATTGAAGCTTCGTCGGAGAGGTAAGGGTTATTGGTCGGAAACCTAAAAAGAATAAAATACAAAATAAAACTGGTTCTAGTTATTAAAATTTGGGGAATCGACGCATAATTTTTTCAAAATTGAGTTAGTTTTTTTTCTTGATTGAAACAGCCTCCATAAGTACCTCATGTTTGGGTTGTTCTGCATGTTGGTAGCATTCTCGTTTGGGAACCAGGGATTCACCATCTGAGGAGATATGAACCCCAGAGCTGGAGGCTGCTGACTCTGTCCTCCCATCCAGTTATTGGGGCATTGGCCGGGTATACTGTTTCCGGCATACCGGTGCGAATTTGGCATGTTGTTCTGACTCCAGGCCATGGTCATATTACTGTACATGCTGCTCATTTGCATCATCATTTGTTGCCGCATCATTGCTTCCATGGACCTCATCAAGTCCTCTAATTGAGGCACGTGGTACGACCCTGGATTCCCAAAAGGTCCAGGAAGCGCAGGCACTAAAACGTATAATTTTAATCGTTCAGGTAAGTACAGTGCTGATTTAAACTATCCGGACAAAACGAACATAACTTGAATTTTCAAACGCGTTTTTCTCAAATTGGGTTAACATTAGACAAAAAGTGAAGAGAACAAAAGTTGCTTAGAATTTCACCAGAATTAATATGGTGTTATTTTTTCTCCGAAATTCTTAACAAAAATTTTGCCCCAAAAATGGATCAATTTGGCTTTTTTCAATTAATCAAGAATTACGCTGAAACTACTTTGTTAATTGATACGAAAATTATATCACAGGAAGCCTCTTACGCAGCTCAACAAAGTTTAAGAAGGGTTAAATCTCCAAAAACCAGTATAAGAGAAAAAATTATCACCTGATAGTCAATAAATGTGATTTTTACTATATAAAACCCAGAATCTCTGTTAAAAAATAAATTTTAAACAATTTGCGCAAATTTTTGGAGATTTAACCCTTCTTAAACTTTGTTGAACTGCGTAAGAGGCTTCCTGTGATATAATTTTTGTATCAATTAACAAAGTAGTTTCAGCGTAATTCTTGATTAATTGAAAAAAGCCAAATTGATCCATTTTTGGGGCAAAATTTTTGTTAAGAATTTCGGAGAAAAAATAACACCATATTAATTCTGGTGAAATTCTAAGCAACTTTTGTTCTCTTCACTTTTTGTCTAATGTTAACCCAATTTGAGAAAAACGCGTTTGAAATTTCAAGTTTTATTCGTTTTGTCCGGATAATTTAAATCAGCACTGTATAGTGAATAACTAAATAAAAAAAAACCAGTCAATAATCTGAATGATTTTGACAGTTCGAAAATAGCGTGCAGCCTATATTCTGAGCTGATGTCTGGGCCTAAGTTTCTCTAAGTTAGGATTTTCGTGAAAACCCTATCATCTGTTCTTTCTTAACTTACTGCTAATGGGATTTGGAGGCAGCATGCTATTTCGCGAACTCTCTCTTGGTTGAATTGGACCACGTGGCGCAATGAAGAACTCGTCACTAGTCGCCTGCAACTCTCTCGATTGGATCTGAGCTTGCATGTTTCTCACTGCGTCATTCGTCGAGGCCAATTCGTCTTTCAACTCTCTGAACATACTTCGGACGTCATCAGTTCTCTGCGACTGGTTGGAAGTGTTCTGCTGTGTTTTACTACTCGACTGGTTTCCAGATCCAATCATTGTCGAGGAGGTAGCATTGGATAGCTGGCTTGTATTGAGAGCTATATCGGGCACTGTTGATATATTCTAAGCAAAGTAAGGTCAAATTTTCCGTAGGCTGGGTTTTTTACGAGGCCCCATACTTCAGTAGAAAACTTAATAATTAATTATCAGTATAATCTAGCCTTTAAATGGAAAATCAATAACTACACACCTCTTGCTTGCGTTGTCTGGACGTATTCCTGGTCCACTGGTTCTTGGTTTTCGCTGGATTTGCTCTCGATGCCGCCACTCTGTTGTCCGTCTTCCTGTTATCCGGCATCAGAGTCACGCCACTGCCCACTCTAGGGGCGCCAGAAGAAGAAGAGGGTACAGGGCCATCTTGTCTTACCGATGCAGACACTCCATTCGTTAGGTTTTTGAAACGCTTGTTTAGATCATCTAATGTGTACGTCTCATTCGACGACGAAGAAAGATTCTAAACAAATTGAATTAATTGTCTTGAAGAACCGGAATACCTTAAATCATGGCCAACACAAATTGTTCTGACATCTATAATTAAAGCGGAGCGTGGAAAAATCTTTGAAACGAGTGATCTATTTTTTATCCATTTTCCTATTTTTTATCCATTTTCCTATTTTTTTATCCATTTTCTTTGCATGTGGTAAAATCTTTGAATCAAGTGATCTATTTTTTTTATCCATTTTCTCTACTTTTGTCAGATTCTGGTATGAATTAAAGAAACTACATCCGCATTCTGATGTCCCTCTTCGTCTTCTTCCTCCTCCTCTTCCGCCTGTTGCATCATCATAACGTCATCATCATCTTCATCGTACATAGAACCGTCCCTCGTTCCATTCACTCCTCCGCCCTCTCCCCTAGCCAGCTGTTCACTCATGAGACTGTCCATACTGTACCTAGTTGCCAGGTGTGTCTTCGCTAGTCCTGCTCTGGCGGACGAGGAGCCATTGTTATTTCTTGGATGCTGACTGGTCACTGGAGAACCTCCATATGTTGCAGAGGTTGTCGATAGACTCAACCTAAGACCAGAACAGACTTTTATATTAAACATTTCCGAACATAGCCACATGGGAAAAGAGCCAATTAACGCAAGAAAACAGAAAAAAAAACGGACTAATTTTTGAAAAACACAATTTTTGAATTTCCAAGCTTGAAATGGCCTGAAAGCTCTTTGAATTTCTAGAACAATTTATAAATGACACTTCTGATAAAATAAACCCAATATGAGAAAATTGGATCAAAAATAAAATTTTCATTTCGCAGGAAATCTGAAAACTAAATTCCACATTCGAAAGCCGGTCACGTTTTTCGTGACCTTTACACTTTTGCTGTTCGATAGTGGAGTTTGACTTGTATTAACAAAAGAAATGAACTGAAATTAAAAAACATAGCCAATCGAAGATTTGAAAAAAGTAATGAACGCAACGAAACTTTTGAATTTCGAAGAAAAAAATAGATGCCCTTAAAGCTCTTTGAATTTGTAGAACAATTTATCATGGACACTTTTTTTAAATTAAAATTAACCCAATTTGATAAAACCGGATCAATACATAAAACTTTTATTTCGCTGGGAAATCTGATAAGTAATTTCCATTTTCGAAATCAGAAGTCGATCACGTTTTTCGTGACCTTTACACTTTTGCTGTTCGATAGTGGATTTTGCCCTCCTTTTAACAATGGAAATGCGCTAAACTTAAAAATAAATCACAAGTCAAACCGCGAAAAATCAAAATTGAGCGTGAATAAATTTTAAGGCTTTTTCCTGAAAAAAAAAACAAAAAAAATAAGCAACACAAAAGTCAAACCGCAAAAAAATAGACTTTTCCTGGAAAAAAACTAACAAAAATCATCACGACCTATATAAGAGTCTGAACTACGTTCATCGACTCTTAATAACTTAGGAACAGTTAAACTGAGGCTAAATACGATTCATGTTACCACCCTTGGCATTTTACTTTACTTCAAATCTTCCCATATTCATTCTGTTTTTTTTTGGAATCTGTACTACTAGGCTTTCGCTTGCAATTACAAAAAAATATCAAATTTACCTAAACGGATTAGTCTCCTGAATGGAATCCTCACTCTGCCCGTCTCCGAATCTGCCCCTGGCCCTGTTCTTCGCCTCCTCTCTTTGCATCCTCTGCTGTCTCATCTCAAGCCACATCTCTTTATTCGACTTCAGCTGCTGCCCCGAAAGTTGAGGCACGCTCATGGCCGCCGACACTGCTGGTGGCACATTTGAGGTCGGACTGTCCACCGATCCCTCTACTTCTCGTTGGGAAGGTACGATTGCGGCGAAGTCAGACATCGCCTTTGGTCGTTTTTCAGAAGATTTGCTCCTCTGAATCGCATTAAAATTCATACGTCAACAAATATATCCTCATAGATATGGAAGTATCAGTGAGACGCAACGCATGAAATTTTTTATGCTCGATTAGTGCTTTGATATAGCTAATAGTAACTCTTTTGAAAAACGTCCGACCGGCTCCATTTTTACGCCTAAAACACTTACCGAGTTTCCAGAAGATTCTGTTTGAACAGACTGACGAACAGCTCGGGAAAAACCATCACTGAAACAAAGCAAAGATTTCAAATATTGAACTTACTCGAGTTATGCTAAAAACAACCGGACTATAATCCTTCAATTGCCTTACCCATTCCTTGCAGCTGCCCTCGGCATGAAATCCTGTTCGTTATCTGACATTATAAACTCCTCAGCAGACATATTGGATCCTGCTGCCTTCAACAAATGCCTTAACTGGTCGAGTCTGTCACCCAAGCCTTCGTCGTCCGATCTGTGATTCAGCAAGTAGTTAAGTCTCGTCTGTGCGTCCTGTGGCATCGGCATTTGTGCAGATGTGATTTGATTGGTTGAAGATTGCACGTTCGAAATCAGGCCCTGTAGTTGCTCTATGCCACTTTTGAGATGCTCAATTTCTCTAGAACAAACAGAAAACTTTAAACATAGCCAACAGACAGTTGAAAAAGAGTCAAAGAATGCAATTAAACAGAAAAAAATACGAACTTGTTTTTTTTTAAATCTCAACTTTCAAATTTCAAAGAACAAATAGATGGCCTTAAAACTCTTTGAATTTCTAGAACAAATTATGAATGGCACTTTTTCGATAAACTTGACCCAATTTGAGAAAACTGGATTGACAGGTATTTTTTTTTATTTCGCTGGGAAATCTGAAAATTAAATTCCAATTTTACACTTTTTTGTCCGATAGTGGAGTTTGCCTTACTTTTAACAAAGAAAACTCACGAAACTTAAAAAGAAAAAGTAAGTCAAACCGCAAAAAAAATTATAGTTTTTAGCTTTTAAAATACCCAATTTTTTATTGTTTAAGAGAAACCAGAAATACATTTTAAACAAGGATAGCCGGCTACTGTGCAAGTAGACCAGAATGTTCCGACCAGTCTTAAAAAATTCAAAAAAAAAGTTTTTCAAATAGATTAGTGTCGTTAATTTCGGCGTGGTGTGATAAAAGAAGCTGAACCAAAAAAACTACAGTTTAAAAATATTCGACAGTCAAAGTAAAATTAGCAAATTGAAAACCAACTTTTGTGGAAACATGACTAGAAAAACAAAAAACAATCAGAAAAAATTTTTTTGCAGTTTTTTTTATTTCAAAGTTTTGATTCCAAAGAGGCTCTAGAATACTAAAAAAAACTAATCTTACTCGAGTGAAACTATGTTTTTACATTTTAAATTCAGCTATTGTAAGCCACTGAAATAAGCTTTGTATTCCTGCTCCCTCGGTATACTCACTCAAATTAAGACGGAAAACAAAAAACTTCAAATCTCGACACTGGAAATTTTTGTTAAACTTATTTTTTTTTCTGTATTAAGAATTTTTTTGGGAATTTCTTGATGTCGTTCGAATCACGACTGTAAGGGCTTTAATATCTTCTATCAACTCCCTCCGATAATATCAGCTCTAAAATTGTAAGGGCTTTAATATCAGCTCTCTCCGATAATTATTTGATGGAGCTGATTTTGTGGCAAAAAAGACCCGAATACAAAGTTCCTCCCCATTTTTCAAATGTTCGGAACAACAAACTCAATTCAAATTAAAACCAAAACTCTGAAATTTTAGTTTCCACTGCTGATTTTTCCCTCATATTATTGAAGAAAAAATCAATTTTCATTTGCCAAGATTTTTTATTTCAACAAGGCCCTCAAAATTAATCAAGGATTCGCTTCAACGACGATACAAAAAAGAAAAGGGACTTTGATTACCAGGAAATGACTTTGACTATCAGAAAATGAAAAGGTAAACCAAAAATCTTTAAAAAAATTGTTTCTTTGTCAAAAAAGTTTTAAAAATTGCAAACACGGCAAAACAAATTCCTGGAACAAATTACTTGCACCATTAGAAACTTGACAAAGAGCTTTCAAATGCTAAATAGAAACCAAACAAAAAGAACAGGTCCCGACAGGAATCGAACTTCTGGGATTTTTCGTCTCAATCATGAGTGTTACCACTTTACCAAATGCACAGAATACTCCTGTAAATTATAAAAAAAACTTTCTTTTTAAGGAGCATGAAAAAATCACAAAATAGCAAAAAACAGACAAAAACTCATGGAATAAAATTACTTGTACAAAGCTTGAATCAAAATTTAAATAGAAATGCCCAAAATTTAGGCATATTTGTTGCTGCGGCAAGCCGACAAAAAGCAGACAAACATAAGCCCGACAAAAAATTTTGACGCGCGCGCGAACACCAAGCCCTAGCGCGATTTGAACCATTGACCTGTTGGATTTATGATCAGTTGCGTGCGTTAACTCTTCGCCACTTGCGCGAATTAACGCCTGACTTTAGAGTTCATATGAACCAAAAATAAAATGATTCAAGTGATTCTGTTAAACTAGTTGTTAACCCAAAAAAGGTCTATATTCCTGTTTGATAACGCTTGCTAATCGCAAGCGTAAGAAATAACATTAAAAACGATCCAACAAAATTAATCGTTTATGGTACTGTGATTTAAGGAAAACATTTTAAAGCTAAAAACTGAACATGATTTTAACCACCATTTGCTCATTTTCAGCTTAGAGAACCTGGGTCAAAATTAATTACTTTTATTATACTAGGGTTTCATAAAAATCTTCAGTTTTTGAAACTAAAGTTGATCGCGATTCTAATCATTTGATTGCTTTCGTTAAGGAAAAAATTATTCATTTGAAATTTTCAGAGCGCACTATTTTACAGAAAATGGAAAACAAAAACTCGGATCATTAGGACATTTTCCGGCAAAAAAAGTTTGCTTTAGTTGGGTTCATGTCATAAAAAAGCGCCAATCATAAATTTTTCTAGAAACTCAAAGAACTTAAAGGGTATCTATTTTTTCAAAGTTGAGATTTTTTCAAGAAAGTCAGTTTTTTTTATGTCAACTTGCATTCATTACCCTTTTCCAAGCTTCGATTGGCTTTATTTTTTCATTGCGTTTCAGTTTGTCGCCACACTGTTCAGGTTGCCTTTGCCGAATGCTCAATTTCATAGGGTTTTGACTATTGCATACAAACGAGGGAATGTTGCTGAAGGATATGAAGTTTCAATTATTCGAGCATTCGGAAAAAGCAGTCTGAACAATGTGGCGACAAAATGAAACGCAATGAAAAAAGATAGCCGATCGAAGATTGGAAAAGAGTAATGAATGCAAGTTAACATAAAAAAAACACTGACTTTCTTCAAAAAAATCTCAACTTTAAAAAAAATAGATGCCCTTTAAGCTCTTTGAATTTCTAGAAAAATTTATGATTGGCGCTTTTTTGATGACATGAACCCAACTAGAGAAAACTGGATCAATAGGTAAAGTTTTTATTCCGCAGGAAATCTAAAAACTAAATTCCACTTTCGAAACTAGAACTCGTTCACGTTTTTTCGCGCCATTTCCACGTTCGTATTTGGAGTGCCATTTACGTCACTTTCAACAGATGAATTTCAATTGAACTCAAAAAGTGCATATATACCTAAATTCCACTAAAAACTAAATTCCACGTTTTTTTTCGCGCCATTTCCACGTTCGTATTAGGAGAGCGCTATTTACGTCACTTTCAACAGATGAATTTCAATTGAACTCAAAAAGTGCAAATATACCTAAACACTTTCATAAATGCAGTAATATGTAGTTATTAGAGCTTTTTAAGACCTCAAAAAACATAGCCGATCAAAGATTGAAAAAGAGTAATGCATGCAAGTAAACACACTGACTTTGCTGAAAAAATCTCAACTTTCGATTTTTGAAGAAAAAAATAGATACCCTTCAAGCCCTTTGAACTTCTAGAACGATTTATGACCGGTGCTTTTTTGACAACATTAACCCAATTTGAGAAAACTGGATCAACAGGTAAAATTTCTATTCCGCTGGAAATCTAAAAATTAAACTCCACTTTCGAAACTTAAAATCTTTCAGGTTTTTTTTCGCGCAATTTCCACGTTCGTATTTGGAGAGCGCTATTTACGTCACTTTTATCAGATGAATTTAAATTGAACCCAAAAAGTGTATATATACCTAAGTGCATCAACTTAGACTTTTTCCTGAAAAAAAAATCAGCAAGACCTATATAAGAGTCTTCACTACGTTCATTACTCTTAAAAATCACCAAGACCTATATAAGGGTTTTCACTACGTTCATTACTCTTATAAAAACAAGTGTTCTATTTTTGAGAGGAAACTAACTGGATTTTAGCGCTCAAATGTTCACTCTTGCTTGAACTTGCCACCTGTTTGCTTCTAGGGTTCTGCCTTCCGGGCAGCGGCGCTCCCCCTACGGCGCCCAAATTCTGCTCGTCATCTTCATCGTCTTCGTAATTGCTTTCACATTGGTGCCCATAGATCCTATCTCCCCCGCCATCATCATCCTATATAAAAATCAGCAACCACTGGTTATTATTGCTGGCATTTCAAATCATGATTCCCCACATCAATAAGGATATTTTGGAGCATGCGCAAGTTCTTGCCATTTGAGTTCTTTCACCTTGATTCAGTTGATTCTATGGCTGATAAAAATTTTCTTCAATTACCGTCAGCATGTTTCGTGGATTGGCTGCCGCAGTCTGATACATGTCCACCAAGGTCTTCATTTGCTGCAGTCTGCTCTGATATTCTTGCAGCTTCCTGAAACACGTGAGAAATCAGCTAAACAAGATACAACACCTTTGCAGATGACCGTAACCCATTTAAGCAGATGATACACGTGCAGACATAGGGCATACCGAACTGCGATGAAAGATCAACATTAAGGGAATGAACAGAGAACAGAGGGAAGGCAAGGAACTAGGTCTAATGGGGGTTCGAATGCAGACCTCGTATCGGGCGTGGTAGCACCACTACTGCACTCTTCGACCAAACCGCGTAAGATGATCAAGCATGATTTGGCATCCGAGAGCTGCCTGCAATGCATAAAATTAAACTGATTCATCAATTCAATTGATTTTAGATTTTAAATCGGTCGAAAAGTTTCTGGAATTTGCGTTCATGAACGTTTATTCCAAAATCAAACTTGAAAAATCAAAATAGAATACAGAATTGGTAATAATAGTAAGGCTACAATCAAAGAAACCAAAGAATTTTACCTCATTCGCTCTTCTGAGTCCATCAAGTCCGCAATCATCTCCGAAGACGTTCTATGATCACTTTCACCCAATCTAACCAGAGCACTGTCCCCTTCATATTCATCTTCCTCATCATCAGTATCATTGTTCTCCGGTGCTTCAGTTGACTCTCTATTGGCCGCATTTGAACTAAGCCCGGATGCTGCCGACAGAGAATGGAAGTGTCTGATGCCAGAGTGCTCAGAATTTTGACTACCTGGATCGTCAGCAGACTCAGCGCCACCATGTCTGATATCTATGAAAAATGAAAAGATCGTCGCAAAAATTGTTTTATTTTATATACTAATATAGCTGTCAGTAAAACATGACGAAACAATATAAAAAAAGGCAAAATAAATTGACCATTTAATTTCATGTTTTTCGACTGCTATCTGACAAACCTTCAATTTCTAGTAAATCCTGGTTGGATTCATGTGATCCACTTGCCCCCTGAGGAGCTTCCCCTAGCCCACCATTCATGATCACGCTTGCTTGTTTAAGCGCCTGAAGATGTTGAACTAGTTGGTCCATCTGGCTTTTCTTATCCTGCAACTCCTGTAATCTCGCTTCCAGTTCCCGTTTCTCTCTTAACTGCTGTTCCAGGCCTGCTACGTTTTCCAGATCTTCGGCTGATATCGTTTCTTGATTCTCGTTTTGTAACAGCGTTCTTAATTCTTCAATCGCGGCCTGATTTTGCCGAGTTGAAAGTACGCTTTGCTCAGTGCCATTCTGAAATTAAATTAGCGTATCTTACATGTTGCTCAAATCAGGTTAGGTAAACAAGCTGACACGTTTGATAGCTGTACCTGGTTTGTTTTACAGCTCGGCTCTGATCTTCGAGATAGAATAACACAAATTAGAAGCCATAATTCGGAGACCAGAAAAGGCAAAATGAAAAACATTCAGGATTTACAAAACGGAAAAGGTTTTGCATTTGAAAGAGGAAACTAGCACAATCAACGCGTAGCAAGGGAAACAAACTCTGAAAATACTCGATGGAAATAAAACATAATAGCTTCATTTTTGCTTTGAGCTTCTTGCTTTTTACCTTACAGGATGCGCATTGTCACAATGGAAACATCGCAACAACCAATTGCATTTTCGTTTCAAAGCGAAAACAAATTTGATTTTAGCTTCAGACTATCACTGAAATGAAAAGTCAAGAATGCTATGAGACAACAAACAGTTAGAAATCTATCTATCAAAATGAATGAAGACTGTTTTGAAAAAAAAACAAGCCCAGACTATAAAACGCAAAATTAGCAGCCGAAAACAATTTATCGAGCGGTAAACAAAGCCAAAAATACCTGAGCAGAAATCCTTCGAGCCATGAGAAATTTTCAAAATTTTTAAAAATTAATACAAAAAAAATCAAAACTACTCCCCCTGAAAACACGTACACACGCAAAAAAATTTTCGCCTTCCTTAACCTACATTTGACACAGGCGTTTGCGTTACTAGATAGTGAATGGAAAAAAAACGTATTTCGATTTTTTCTTGAAAACACAAAATTGAACAAGCAGGCGAAGCAGAGCTTCAACAGCACTTGAAAATATCGAAAAACGTTAGATCTACCAAAATTTTACTTGATAAAAACATAACAAATGAGAAAATTTAAAGTTACAATTGCATAAAAACAAAGCGGTACCAAGGCCGATAATTTTTGTGCAAATAATCGTTGAGTGAAAAATGCTTCCATAAAACAAACTCAAGAAAACTTTCAATAAATATTAAATCACCCCATCAAAAGACTCACACGCATATGCAATATGCTGCCACTAAGCCGATTAGGTATAAACCGAAACGCTTTTATGGTGAGTTAACAACTCACCCAGTAGCTGAATTTGAATTTTCATGAAATGGAGCATGTCAGCCGCATAGCAGCATGCTATTAATACCTGCTTTCGTTCAAGTTAGTCGTTAGCCCGAAATAAATGCTTCTTAAATACAAACGTAAATAAAACTAACAATCTGCAAAAAAAACTTTGCTACTGAACGATCTCCAACAATGGGGCTTTAGAAATGACATTCAGGATTTTAGAAAATGTACCATCAAAAAGAATTCGTGCTAAGAACAGACGGACGATAGTCCGAAAAAGCAGAGCATTTCTAGTTTAAAAGAGGGCCCGGCCCGACTCAAACGAGAAGCCTTTGTCGTCTCGAGCAGGTGTGTTACAACTACGCCATATCCGCCAAGTGGTTGATTTGTTTTGAGCTTAATATGAAGCAAAATGAAATTTTGTGAACAAAAATGTTTACGGGAAAAAGTATAGTACCTGGTTGCAACACCCTTACTGATCGCAGAAGTAATAAAGCGTCTCGAGTTGTTTTATGAATGTACACAAACCAAAGTATACGTTTCATTCTTAAGTCAAATTAGGCTGCTGTGTTTCCGATAATTAAACGCGAAATACTCGTCATGAAAATATTGCGGTCAATGAACTCAAAATGTAAGTTCGTCAACTTACATATGAACTTTCAGACAAATCTCCTCTTTGTGATCCATTAGCATTTTCCCCTGTCGCCCTCATCTTCAATAACTGAGTTAGGAATGCTTTCTCTTCCAGCAATGACTGCAACTCACTTTGTAGACTCGTTTTTTCCTCTACCAATTCCTGCGGCATATCTCTTCTGCCTCCAGATGAACCAGCTCTAGGACGCATCTGTTGCTGAACAACCCTGGAATCAGAGCTCCTCGGGTGCGAGGATGAGGCACGTTGGCTGCTTGGTCCTGCTTCTTGGTCCGATACTTCACTCGCTGTTTGAGTTTGGTTCGAATTTGACGTCATTTGTTTCAAGACGTCGTGCTTTGTCTTAAGGTCTTTAAGCTGAAAGGCAAATTATGGTTTAAAATGCTTAGTGTTGACATTGCGTCGTACTTATTTTTATATTATTCGACACCAATCCCGATCTTCTTTTTGCATTGGTTAGCAAAACCTAAAGTTCAAATGCATGCTGCAATCTAAATATATGCTTGTTGATTCCCATGAAAAATGTAACGTTGAAACACGTTGAAAGCTAGAACTCACTTCTTTTTGCTGATTCAACAGCTTTTCCAGAAGCTCATGTTGACGCTTTAATTCCATCAGTTCTGACGCTGGTCCATTCAATTGAGCCGTCTCCGCATGCGCGGAGGAGCTTTGGGGCTGCCGGGTAATACCAACATTTTGGTGCTGACTGCGAGGTTCTGCACTCGACCTTCCACTTGCTGTGGGCCCGTTAATTGCAAGACGCATTTCGGGCATCTGACCAGGAACCTTTGAAACAAGAGCTCCATGAGATACAAAAACTGGTATCAAATTATCAAAACTTATGAGCATATTGCAATGAGAGTTAACTGGCTCGCTAATGAAATTAAAATGGACAATGGTTGAAAGAACACAATGAATCACTCTAAAACGTCAAGAAGCAACTGCAAAGGTGATGAAGGCTATCAATTGCACTTAATTACCGGTGTTTTGGGTCGATTAATCATAGAGACTTTTTTATTGCAGTTTGATTGCAGCTTGGCATATCTTTGCCAACTTGCCTCGCACATAAATTGCATGCCATCATAAGCGTTTGCAAATTGATCATCCGGAAATAAGGGTGACTGAAAATGAACCAACTCAATAAATCATTTTCTTTCAAGCTACAATAAAGATCAGATCCTTTTATTTCATTTATTTTTTATTGATTTTATTTGAAATTTTTCTTTAATAACCATATGACACATTTCGAAAGTTTACTCAAAATTTGGCTTTAAAAACAAAAAAATAATAATTCCTCACATTTTGTCCCGACCGTTCATCATTCATCTCAGAATGTGCGTCCAGATTAATTGACACCGTATCGGCGACCGATTCTGTGTCGCCATTTGCATTACTGATCTCTGCTTCGCCCAATAATTGGGATAGCAAACTCATATATCCTGACTCTTGCTCTCTCAAATGCACAATTAGAGACGATATTTTGCTCAGCTGCTCGTAGTTCTGTCTGTTGTCACCCGCGCCCCCGCCCACACTTATGAGTTGTTTCTTCAGGGTTGAAGCTTGTTTCAGGTACTCCCTGATCTGCATTATTCGGTCCATTATCGAGGCGGAACTAACCTAGACATCCACGAAATGAAAAAAAAATACGAATCTCAAACAAATTGATCTCGTTCGATGTTTCTAATTACACCGAAAATATTTAAATTATATACTTACATGTTGCGGCTTCTTTTGCACTCAATATTTTCAATGCTTCTAGAGCTAAAGCCACAATGCTGGAAGCAAATGAACTCACCTCAGCTTGAACTGCTTCATCGTTTGAGGTCAAAAAATTATCCATGATTCCATTGCTCATTTGTTCTGCATGATTTGCTAGCGTATCACTAACGCCATTCAGAGCGCGCGTTTTTCCACTGGCATTCCGGTTAGACATCAGACCGCAAAATGTATCGCAGCTTCAAAATTATCTGAAATGTGACTGAACAGGACTGCACACAAATTGAGGCTATTTTAATTTACGCTCAACATTGAACTAAGACACAAACTGATTTTATATAGCTTCGGTTTTTAAAAAAGCATTGAATACTAAACGTGCATCTGCGCATTTCCTCACCTGCAACGATTGAAACCAGCTTAAATATAGCAATATACCAGTAGGTATTTGTGCAATTCAAAAGACGGTGAAAAGAACCAGTGAATTGAGAGGACAAAACATAAAAATCACTCGAAACACTTGAAAACCACGGAAATATTATGTTCTAATTGATAGTCAAATCAAATTCTGACGACTCTAATATTTTTTTCAATGGAAAATATCTTCAATAAGAAAAAAATGCTCGCATAAACTATTCTACGATCATGTCAGTTGGTTCCCCGTCACTTAAACAGGACGTCAGTTCTGTCAGTCCCAAAACATATGAAATTTGGTAAAAAGTCTTTTTTACCGAACTTAAATTGAAACGAAAAAATCACCAAAATAGCAGCCTTAGTACAGATATCGAACCTTAATAGAGAATATATGGAAAATACACATCACTTTTTTGTTTGTCTCCAAAAATGGTGACACAAATACTGGTAGACCGAGAAAAACAGTTGAGCTAGAGGACGTTTCTGAAAAAAGTCAGCATTTAAATAGCCTTTATGCAAATTCATTTAACTTTTCATTCAATGTTGTGTAATTAGTTTGAAGCTTAAGCATCAAAACGCAAAGTTTCCCGGCAAAAAATACAAATTAGAGCGATGAAGGTTTTTTGTCTGACAACTCTCAAGAGTTGTTGTTGTTGTTTTGACTTCCCAGTAAACTAGATGGCATTTTTCATCCCGTTTTCATGCGTTAAAAGATTGTCCGTATCGTTCGACAACTAGCACAATTACAGCACAGCTGCCATGTACACATGTTGCTGCTTGAAAATTGTTCGTTGACGTATCTCCACATAGGGGTTCAACTTCGTTTTTTGAGGCCTTTAGAATTTCGATAATCCACGTGTACTCCGTCCACGTCAATTCGGTTTGAGATTCTTGCTGTCCAAAAAATTAATTCGTGTCTGGCTTTCTCGATTCGTGTTTTATCAGGGTAAATATTTCTGATATCCGGTTGGTGGTACGATTATTGAACGGAATTTTGATGTTGTGTTCACTTTGATCTTGGCATAGTTTTCACAGGAGCAGTAAGTCATTCAATTGCATGTAGAGTGGGAGCGGTAGGACATTCAGCAGGCGCAGCTGGTCCATGTAGTCTTGTTAGAGATGGAGATTCCCTAAGATCCACTCGATAGTCCTCTTTTGGAACGATTTGAGTTTTTTCAAGTCTTGTCTTGAGGGGGCTGAGCAGTGTGCTCCGTAGATCAGTATTGGCAATAGAATAGACTTTAAAAATCCTAGTTTCACGAAAGGGTTTGTATTGTAGGCTAACAGAGTGGGAAGTAGCTACAGAATAAAGTTGCTTTTTCGGCGATTTCATACAACACTTGCACGGGATCGAGTAAATAAATTTTGCCTTTAAGACAAAAACGAAACCTATCAAGACAAAAGACCCAAAAATTTCGAAGATTACAATAATCGACTAAATTATACGCAAATTTTGGTATTTACTCTCTAACAGTCTAAATTCAAGGCTCAATTTGGAAACTTACTTGAGACTTTCCGAAAATGTATACATTGACCGTGAGCAAATGATCTTAGCTACCCTCTGTGAAAGTATTAACATGAACATGGTCAATGAAACTCATTTTAGTTCAACCAGGACAGTAACAATTTTAATCTCTTTCGACTGACACAAGAAAATAAAAAAGCCAACAGAGCTGAAAAAAAGCCAATGGACGCAAGGAAACGGAAAAATTATTCAAATTATTTTTTGAAAAAATTTCAACTTTCAAGAAAACAAAACATGGCCTTGAAGTTCTTTGACTTTCAAGAACAATTGATGATTGTTCTTGAAATTCAAACAGCTTCAAGGCCAAGTATTGTTTTCTCGTATTGCTGGAAACAAGGCCCTCTACGAGCAACAAAATGTTTCGGAAACCTACAGGTCGGATACCGGCACTAAACGAGGAGCAGAAATAGCTGCACACTCGTTTCGAAACCTAACTGAGCGCGACGACAATCCAAAAAGCACGGTTCTTTTAAAACTAGATTTTAAGAATGTCTATAACTCTCTAAATAGAGAAACAATGCTGAATCATGTTTTTTTCAAATGGTCCTGAGTTGTACAAATACAACCATTGCGCGTATAGTAAACCTAGTTACCTTTTTTAGGAAAAATCTATCATAATGTAAGAAGACGGAACTCAGCAAATCGATCCTGAAGCCCCACTCCTTTTTGCGGAAACAATTCAGACACTAGTCAAACAGTCGGAGTCGAAAATTAACATCTGGTATTTAGATGATGGTAATTTAGCTGATGACTATAAGATGGTAGTCCGGGACCTCAAAAAAATTTTGAAATTGGAACAAATTTACGGCCTGCACTTGAACACTGAAAAGTACGAACTTTGTTTTTTGGGACCGACTACGAGTACATAGTATAATTCAATTGTAACACAATTTCGAAAAATATGCCCCAAAATAAAAAAAAAAGAAGAACTCATCTTAGGATCTCCAATCGGCGAACTTTGTCGGAAGAACTGATCAACAAAAAAACTAAGGAGCTTGAAAATCTCGGATGTCGATGACAAACTAGACGCCCATTATGGTTTTTATCTCCTGAAAAATTGCTTTAGTATGCCAAAACTCTATATTTTTTTACGTACGAGCACTTGTTTATTTGCAAAATGATTTTTTGGAACGCTACGACAAATTAATAAATCCGTTATGCAAGGTCACTAATGTGGAAATGGATGATAACCAGTTTTCACAAGCAGTTCTCCGGCAACCAAACGGTGACTTGGGTGTTTCTTCCGCTCGTCTACCAGCTTTACCCGCCTTCTTAGCCTCAGCAGTAGGAGCGAAAAATGCCTTAAGCGAAATTTTAGGTTTGGAGCATGTGAATGGAATCCGAAGATGCGCTTAAACGGTAAACGAAACTCAAAAAAAAGGACAGCCAGTTTTTGACAGCGCAGTTGCAGACTTGATTTTACGACTCGAACCAACGGACTATCGATAGGACTTCGATTAGGCTCAAAAACTTGCAAACGGCATAAATGCGTGTGCGGAAAAGACGTTATCGAAGATGGTTGGTTGGCATGGCCTTTCTTGCCTCAAAGGGGCAGGGAGATTCGCTAGGCATTCAAAGCTGAATGCCCTTATAAAGCAGAGTTTATCTTCTACTCACATTCTGTCTGTTTTACAACCACAACACCTCTACAGGACCGATCAGAAGCTACCAGACGGTTTGACGCTCGTTCCATGGGCTGTTGGTAAGCAGCTCTTGTGTGATGTAACGGTAGTAGACTCCTTAGCCCCTAGTAGGATTAGTGCCGGGTCTGTTTGTAACCCTGGTATGGATGCCGCTGAAGCGGAAGAGCAAAAAAAGTACAAGTATAAAGACTTAATAGATGATGGGAATCTTTTTCAACCACTAGCTTTTGAGATTCAGGGCGCGGCCGGCCCCAGCACAGAATTTTTCTGGAGCAAGCTCTGAAAGAACCTAAGCATATGCAGAAGTAATCCAGAGCAGGCAGCTTTTTAAAACAGATAATCTCCCTGGCAATACAGATTGCGAATGCCGCTTGCGTACTCGGAATAACAAATGACATAACAACTTTCGACGAAATTTTTCATTTATAACACAATTATATTTGTATAATATTTTTTCTCGAGTCGAGTTGCGTGTTCTTATTGAAGAAACATAACACGTATCGAGTTTAATTGTAAAGACATCTAAACTTATCATCTCCTTTTTATCATTATCACTTCCATATCTAGAAAATTTTGACTGGAATACATGATGAAGGGACTCCTGACTGCAACCTCGGATACTATGATGTTATTTATGATTGACACTTTCTTAATAACAGGGGTAGATTGGATCAAAAAGTAAATTTTCGCTCGGAAATCTGAAAACCTGAATCCACATTCAATACTTAAAGTCTATCAGGATTTATGTGAATTTTCCATTTTACCATTCAACAGTGGAGTTTGCTTTTCGTTTAACTAAAAAAAATAATAAATGAAAGAACCCCAAAAAATTAAATACAAACTGCAAAAAATCGGTGATATATTACCATAGGTGGTTATTTTGGAAAATATCTGAGTAGTGCATTAATTTAAATTGAGAACTCTGCATAATATAGTCCTTATATTTTCAATTGTACCTGCTATTGAGATAGTTTTTGTATACATTAATCTGCCAGGCGTAATGTTGTTTAAAAAAATCAAATTTTACACTTCTTTTGGCAAAAATTTGGGCTTGAAATAAATTACAAAAACTGCTTGAAGTATAAAACAGAGCTTAGATTAACTTGAAAGAGCTTTTTAACTTGAACCTGCCACCTATTCTAATATTTCACCCAAACATTTTCTACGACCGGTTCACTTGCATTTTTGCGGAACCTTCAATTTTAACTAACTTTGAGGGATATTCTCGCCAAAAAAAAAATCAATTTAATGGTGAATCATTTCTGAAAACTTGTGTCGTAAATTATAAAGCAAAACCGAAAAATCAGTTTGGAACATGAACTTATTTTAAGAACAACAAATAATCATCAAGACCTATACTGGTCGTGAAAAATCATCACTAGTCTTGATTTTTACTTGAAAAACGTTACACAACCATAGAAATTATTAATTAGGAAAACAAAACAAATTCTTTCTTAAACTCGAATTATGTAAATACTATCTTAGTTTTTTTCTCCGATGATATTCACCCATTTCACAGTTTTCGATATCTCAATTTTCAAGGCTGTGATTTGAAACTCCATTATAGAACAATTCAACTTGTTTGATACCATTCAATAAAAACTGCTCTAACTTTGCAAAATTGAGAAAACATTGACGTACTTAGTAGTAGAACAGGATTTAGGGTTGATTGTAACAGTCACCTACTTCGGTCACATATGAGGCTTAAGAAG